CTTGGTGGCTATAGCCTAATTCAGTTAATTTAGATTTTAGATAAACTCGTTAAGTATATAAGAACGCGACTTTACTAACCAAACAAATAGACAGAAATGGATAGAATAGGTGAGATTGGAGAGATATGAAGTGAATATGCAGGCCAATATCGGGGAGGCAACACAAAAGTATTTTTACCGAGTTGGGCTTCTCTACTTGAATACTGCCCTGAATAATCCCGATTACAGATGATTATCTCTATATGACTATAATATAGATCAAGCTGTGAGTAAGAAGAATGAACACAATGAAAAGTGAAACGGTTTACGCAACATACAGAAGAAAAAATTAATATCAAAATTGGACAAATGAACTTGTTTGTCATGTAAATAACATCAGAGAAGAAACTAGAATTCACAAAGATTTGAGGGTAATAAGTGCTCACAGGACAACGCAGGTATTTTAGAGTGATTCATTTAAAAAATCGATATCGAGAAAATACCAGCGATGATGCGAATCGCTTGTGTCAACTGGAATGGTAATAATTGTCTCACTCAGCCTTGCTAAGTATGGTCAGAATATGTCTAGCGAATTTATCCAAAGAAACATCCGGGTTTTTCTACTGCCCATATAAAAAGGTAAGGTCGTCCATCTACGGCTGCATGGCTATGTTGCATCCAGTTGATGTCTTCACAATGCAAACATAAATTTATCCGATTCTCGTTAAAGCGCGTTGAGTTGTTTAATAATTGCATTTGAAATCATCGTCAATAGAAATCTTACGATTTTTGTTATATATAAACTGAGTGTGTAAATTTAACACACTTTTGTTTTTGGGAACCTCGTGCCCAACATCACATAGCGACACCAACTACTTCACATTATCTTACCAACGACATACGATGTATTTTAACCATTCACACATAATTTGATATAGGTTTGGGCTGAATATCAAAATATAAAGGTATATTCTTTGATGGTCTAAAAAAGGAGAACAAACTTAGATTTATTCTTGTGTAACCGAAAGGTGATTTGTAAAAGATTCACTGCCGCAGTGAAAAGCAGCATACATTAAGGGAACTATCTTTGTATGACGTCGAAAGTTGCAATATTGTATCTCACTGCTTGCTTCTTCAAATAGTTCTCTTCGTTTCAGCTTCGATTGCCGAATGGGTGTCAGTGCTGTGCACCGTCCAATCACCGCTTGAATAAGTTCTTTTTAAATACTAGTTTCATATCTAGAATACGAAGGGCAATGTTATTTTGGACTGCGAATTTCGATAAGATAAACGATAGTAGATTCGGTATTCTGACCGCGCCATACAACAGCAACGTTTCCTTAACATCTTGTAAAATAGTTAGAACCAATCAAGAACTCATTATTTCACAAAGGTTTGAAAACAACCGGTTTGTATAGTTGTGAGCGTCATTGTGCTTTTGACACAAAAGCTTCCTTAGGCCCAATGAACGAGTCGAGGTTTGGTATAACACTTATTGCGAACTGGGATTATAATCGCTTACATCCCATTCGTCACGATTATCATCCCAGTTCGTTATAAATGTTATGCCCACACTCGACTGGTACAATCTGCCTGAGGAAACTCTTATCTCAAAAAAACAACATTGCCTATTATCTATACCAACCGGTTGTTTTCAATCCTTTCTGCAATGTTTTCTCTGTTGCTTCACTCTAGGAAGCCATTTTATAAAATGCCACCCATTCTCGTGTGTAAGTTCATTCCAACAAGCTCGATGAGCGCTAGCCAATGTTTACCATTTATTGAATCTCAATTGTATTAATGATATCCTTGATCCAGTTCGCTGTCCTGGCATATTCTTTACCGTATCCTACGAGCAAGCACACAACCGCGAGACGACTAAACTCTGAATCCATCAGTCAGCGCGCAACCCCGAGAGATATATGTAGTTTGCGATAGCCAGTTGTAGCTGCGGCCGAATAGCCAGCTATGGTTCAGGGGTAGGCTCAACTTCCACGCCAGTTTCACGTGACCTGATGGTTAGAAGCTACTGACGGTTGTGAGAAATTTGGTCCGTAGAACAGAAAATAAGAATGTCAACATAAGACGTCCGCGTTCTAATTGTTCAATCACGTTCCGCACCAAATGAGTTAAGACGAATCTGAAGTTTAATTGATGAGCACCAGACCAGACACATTTTGGTGCCGCTTGAAGTGTAGTACCGCTAAATTAATTCTGACTGGAGTTGCACTATCCTTATAGTATGAAAGGCTGGCAATATTTGATAAACATAGTTAGGCAAAAAGTAGCTTCAGTAGAAGCGAACATAGCCGCGTACTTGACCCGGGCCTCTCCACCGAAATCGACTGCAAGCTTAATCCACAATGCCGTGTGTTGCATTAAAAAAGTGTCGCTTGAGAACACGGTAATCAATCGTTTTGCTACCACTTCAGATGGCCAGCCATTCTTACCCTAAATACAAATGTGAGAGGCGATGCTGCTCTGTGGCCAACCAGGTCCTCAAATCCCAACAACCACCCATACTCTTCTAAAGTGCACTAAAAGGACTAAAAGCACTAAAAATACGACTAAGCAAGTTTCACGGTCGACTTCGGGTGTAGTGTAAGAACGTAAATGAACTACTTGAAGTAATAAAATACCATAAAAAGCATGCCAGCCTGACGATTGTCACACGTCACCCAAATTCCTAGCACTATCTTCAGGTGAGGACTTCTCGATGTTGGGCTAAATCCTGCCAATAAGGTGAATGCCACCATTCT